AACCCCTCTCGTTTTTCCCGGTGATTTTTCCCTGGAAAACCACCCGGCCCCCACCTTTGCTCCAAAGAATTCCCCACAGAGGGCACTGGGACGAGGAGAAAAACCCCAAATTGCTCTGGGCTCTCCCTCCCAGGGCCCACAAAACGTTGCCCTTGAATTCCCAATAGTGACAGACCCGCTTTTAGATCCATCCGGTCCCTTAGGATTAGGGGAAAAAAACAAAGAAAAAATGGGATTTGGGAACCAAACTGTGACTTTCACAAACAACCACGACAAACAAAGAGCTGTTTGTTTTTATTTTTCACTGCCAGCTTCGAGGTTTTTCTACGATTTGCATGTTTGGAGGGGTTTTTTTAACTCTGCCTGGGTTTCTGATCCCAGAAATCCGGAGGCACCTGCACCTTTCTGTTTCCATAGGTTGGTTTATTTTTTTTTTGTGAGCCTTTCCCTCCTCCCCTCTCCCTTCTCTCTTCCCTAAGGAAAGCAGGAAGCAGCATGTGCAGCCCTGTAAATGGTTCAGCTTGGAATTGTACAGCCGTGGAAACGTTGAATAAAACCAGGGAAATGGAGTTTTTTTTCTAAACACGTGTTTTTATTCCCCGACCCCACTCTTGGAAAATTCCCAAAGGGGTTTGTTCCCACCCCCTCCTGCCCTCCTGAGTCCTTCCCGTGTCCTGGAGAACCCAGAGATGGGGTTTTAATTTAAGTTTTAATTTAATTTTCCCCCCCTTTTTTTTTCCAGGGAGGTTCAGTGCCACGACTGACTCTTTCCCCACTGAGAGATTTCCCTTCTCTTTTTAAATAAATAAAAGTTGGATAAAAATGTCAATAAAACTCTTCCTGAAGAAATGTATTTGCTGGTGGTTCTCTGTGCTGGTAAAAATACCACTTTCATGTTGATTTATGTCCTTATTTTGCTGAAATATTTCGATATTCCACCAAAACAGTTCCATATTTTACAGAGAGTTTCATATTTTGAAGTGTCTCCTTTTACAGTTTCCTTATTTCACTGAAATATTTCCTTTTTTTAAACTTAAGGTTCAGCAAATATTTATTTTATTCTTCATTTCTTTCCTGTAAAAAACCTGAAAATGCCCCAATCCAGCCCTTTATCCCTGTTTTTTTCCCGGATCCAGCCCCATCCCTCCCAGGAAACCCACTCCCTCTCCCCGAGGTCATTTTGAACCTCCCAAAAAACGTGATTTTTAACAAAAAAATCTCTCCCCAGACGTGTTTTCCTTCCATCCACAGGTGACTCCTTAAGGTGGATTATTGAGCCTTTGTGCCTTCCTGGAATTCCCTTGGATTCCCAGCTGGAATAAGGCAGGACCTGCTCTGTGTAAGTCTTGATTTGGGGCAAATCTGGGCTATTTTGGGGGCTGATCCTGGAGCCCGGGGCTGGCCTCAGGCTGCTCCAGGGGGGGGTTTAGGTGGGATATTTGGGAAAATCCCGGAATCCCCACCCTGGAATGCCCAAGGAACGTGGGGATGTGGCCCCTGGGGACAGGATTTAAGGGTGGCCTCGGACTCCACGATCCCAGGGGGGCTTCTCCAACCTCAGCAATTCCAAGATTCCAACAAAAACAAGGACTTGCAGCTTCACCTGGAACCCTGAGACCCCCCCATCCTTCAAGTCCCTGGTTTGGGAGGATCCCAAATTTTTTTGGAGGGTCCCCAGCGCGGCACAAACACAGAGCCAGGTCTTAAAAGGTCTTGTTTTTATTCCCAAAACCACGGATGGGACATTCCAGAGGGACATTCCAGAGGGACGAGGACACAAAGGGTGGGATACAAAGGACACGACGACCTGGAGCAGCTCCCGGGGTTCACTCGAAGCCGCTGCAAGAAAAGGGATGGGGAAGGTCAGGACGATTCCTACACCTGGAATGTCACCCTGGAACACCTGGAATGTCACCCTGGGGCTCCTGGATGTCTCCTGGGGCTCCTGGATGTGCCCTGGATGTCCCCTGGGGCTCCTGGAATGTCCCCTGGGGCACCTGGATGTCTCCTGGGGCACCTGGATGTCCCTGGAACACCTGGATGTCCCCTGGAACACCTGGATGTGCCCTGGATGTCCCCTGGGGCTCCTGGATGTGCCCTGGATGTGCCCTGGATGTCCCCAGCTTGTCCCCCCGACCCCGGGAGCGTTACCTGACCACGTGGGCGATGTCCCAGTTGGCTTCCAGGGTCAGGGGTCCCTCCACCTGCACCCCCTTCTCCGTCACGGTGGCGAGTTCATACTGAGGGGAGAGAACGTGGGAATGAATCCTTGGAATTCCACACCTGGAGCAAAGTGGGCCCTGGGGACGCCCCGATTAAAGAGACTGTCCCCCAAAAAAGGGTTTGGGTTTGATGGGGGGGATGGTGGGGAAGGATTCCCAAGGGGAAGGACTGGAGCCTCAGGATGGCAGAGCTGCAGGGACGGGACAGTTTTCCAAGGAAATCCCCCCAAAGGTGGATCCTGAGATCCTCGGGATCTCCTCATCTCCCACCCTGCCCCTTCTCCTGGGATCAGGGAGGTGGGGCTGGGACAGGGATTTTCCTGGGATCAGGATGGGTGTATCCAGGTGAGGGGATCAGGGAGGTGTCTCCAGGAGGGACCCCCATGTTTGTGGGATCAGGGAGGTGTCTCCAGAGGGGATTCCTGGAATCAGGAGAGGTGTCTCCAGGAGGGATTCCTGGGATCAGGGAGGTGTCTCCAGGAAGTTCCCCCGGGTCTGTGGGCTCAGGGAGGTGTCTCCAGGAGGGATTCCTGGGTTTGTGGGCTCAGAGAGGTGTCTCCAGGGGGGAAGGCCACGGACCCTGTTGAAGGATCTGGCGTCCCTGTAGTAGAGGATCCGCAGGCAGCGCTCCAGGAGGTCCCGGGCCTCCTCCTGGGTCAGGCTCTGCTTCTTCTCCAGGACCTCCCTCATCAGGGGCTGGGGAGGGGGAAAGGAGTGAAATAAAACCACAGGACTTAATTATTGAGGCAACAAAACACAGTTAAACATGACAATACAAACTTCGAAAAGTAAAATAAATAACAGCATAAAATAGCCTAAAATAAAATAAGATAAACCCAAAGCCCACCTGAGCCAGGTAGGCCCCAAAACCCGTGGCCAACGTCGGCGCCTCGTAGGCCACTCCCAGCATGTCCACGTATCCCAGGAACCTGAGGGCACAGGGAAGGAAGAGGGTGCTCAGCCCTTGGAATGGGCTGCCCAGGGAGGGGGGGGATTCTCCAGCCCTGGGGGTTTTTAAGCCCAGACTGGA